GCATGGCAGGAGAATATGGTGCTGAAATTTACGAGTAACACCAAACTGCTATACAGATTTGTGAATGGCAAAAGAAAGGTTAAGCCCGGAAATCCACCACTCAGGACGGCCAGTGGCCTGACAACTACTGCTGTGGATGCCGCGAACGCTTTACTCCTGCAGTTTGGCTCGGTAGCTACAAATGTCATGGAATCTTCGCCTTATCAATTTCCAACCAATGTCCTTGGCTTGTCCAGCGTCACTTTTACGCCAGCAGCTATTGCAGGCAAACTAACGAGTACAGTGCCCCTGGAATCGACATGAGCTGCCCAAAAGTATTTAAAACTCTCCCAAAATAGCAGCACCACGTGCAACCATTTTTAGAGTCTGCTTAAATCCCATACCCACCCATCTGAATGGAAAAATGGAATTATTACTCTGATATACAAAGGAGATAAGCGATCGGATCCTGCCATTTACCGATCTATTACACTCCTTCCTGTTTTATCCAAAGTGATGGAATCGGTAATCGCAGCTGAACTGACGCGATACTTTGAGTCAACAAATAACTTCTGATACCCAACATGGTTTCAGACGCAGACCATCTTGTCTCACCAATTTGCTGATTACTCGGGACTTATAGACTATGGCGGCTGATGAATAGTCCATATAGATGTGATTTACTTGGATTTTTCTAAAGCTTTCGATAGGGTCAATCACTTCTTTCTCCTCCAAAAACTTGCTGCCGACGATATCAATGGTGCCCTGCTCACCTGGTTAGAAGACTACTTACACGACAGAGCAATCAAGGTAAAAGTAGCCGATGCCTATTCTGTAAGCCTTTGCGTCTCCAGTGGTGTACCATAAGGATCCATCCTAGACCCGCTACTGTTGTTAGTCTACATTAATGACCTTCCAGCCGACATTCTATCTCCGATGCAGATATTTGCAGACGATGCTAACTTATGGAGAGCAATTCGCTCAGCAGCCGACCGTGTCTACCTCCAGGAAGATCTGACCCGGATTAACGAATGGGCAGAAAAGAACCAGCTCCCACTAAACCGTGCAAAGTGCCACCTGCTGACGGTGCGCAGCAACTTCGTCAACACATATCTTTTGGGGCAACACGTCATGCAACACGTGACTAGTGTACGCGACTTAGGTATAATCGTGCAAGCGAGTCTTGGAAATTCGCTCCAATGTTCGAAAGCAGCAAGTGTGGCGAACATGAACTTGCGACTTTTGAGGCGAGCTCTCGGCACTTTTGAGCGACGGCTAGTACCATTGTTGATTAACTCCTACATTCGTCCTCATGTTAAATATGCAATTAAGGCCTGGTGTCCATGGTTAAAACGAGACATCCGCCTATTGGAACAGCCACAAAGAAGAGCCACAAAGGCAAGGCGTGGACTATCCAGTATAAGTTACGAACTGCGTCTTCGTGTAATCGGTGTGTTCTCATTAGACTACCGACGGCTTCGCGGAGATCTTACTCTCACATACCGGATACTGACCGAAGGCGAACATCCATGTATATCACTGTTGACTCTAGCCCCTTTCAAATAAAACCGAGGCAACCACCTGAAGCTAATGACGCAACACTCTCGTTTGAATTGTAGAAAGCATTTTTTTCTCACTTAGAATCTGTTCTCACTGGAATGCATTATCAAACTATGTGGTGAACGCACCAGACATGACGACATTCGAAAGACTCTTAGATTTTCATCTTAGTGCTAAACGATACACAACACTTTTCTAAAGTGCAATGATTTAATCACCGATACTTTACGTTCCATGTTGAAACATTTTGATTTTAATTTTCTTTTGTATATCTAACCTATGGGTCTTGTTATGTTATGCTTTCTATCCCATCATACACCATTGAACCATTGAGAAGAATCCGGGAGTTTTTGTCCAGGTCCTCTCTGGATATTCGAAGCAGGCTGAAACGGCGTCTAGGAGGCGCATCCAACATGTGGACCTCTTAAATTGTGCATTCGCACGATTCGACTCTTCGATTTTTCCAAAACTTCTCGGTTCATACATGCGGCCACAGGTGGAATACGCAATACAGGTTTGGCATACCTGGCTGAGGGGAGACCTCACCGCCTTGGAGATACCCCAACGCTGAGTAACCAAGGATTTCAATGGCCTTTATAAGTTGGCCTTTATGAAGGAACGCAACAAGTGCTCGAAGTCTTCAGCAGGCGGTATCGGCGATTGCGCGTGGACCTCATTTTGACTTACCAAATTTGTGAGATCCCAACCACACCTGCCGCTACTTGATAGAGCTCAGTCACAAACTCAATTTGAGGGGCCACAATCTCAAACTGGCAGGGCAATACAGTCACTTGGAATGCCTTTGGAATTTCTTTTCCGTACGCGTTTGCCATACGTGGAATGCTTTACCGCAATCCGCCATATGTGCTCCCACGCTTGTAGAGTTCAAAGGCCGAGTTGATCGTGCACTTATTTCGCTGCACCATCTTACATGACCCATTACCCAAAGATAAATACCACTGTCTGTATGAGATTTCACTGGCGGTCAAATCACAGACTTCGTCCACGTTTTTCACCTCCTCTATGTGTACACCTGAAGGAGACACGATTTGTACCAACATCCTATTTGCCGTCATTTCTTATGGATGTAGATTTCCAGTCTATACTACTTTATACTCCAGTGCGTGCACTGGTGTAAACCCAATTTTGTTTATAATATTTTTATATTTTGAAGTTTCACCACAACCATCCTGTGGGACCTGTTAGGCATTAGCTTTTTTACCCGTATAAAACCATTGTTCCACTGTTCCATCTGATTATCACTTGATCTACCCAGCATGGTTTCCGAAAGTGACGTTCCACTTTGTTGCAAGACAGAATTGGGCTAATTTGGTGGACATTGGAAAACGCTTAGATATGGTTTTCATGGACTTCAGCAAAGCTTTTGCCGAGGTCGCTCTTTAGCAACTACACCTTAAGCTCTGCAAAACTGACGTAACAGCGAACCTCGTACTATCAATCAGTGATTTCTTGCAAGGCCGGAACGTGCAAGTCAAGGTAAATGCTACTCTCTTATTTCCAGTGGTGCACCATTAGGCCCCGTCTTCGGACCGGAACTATTCAACATCTAAATCAATGACCTGCCACGTGTGCTACATCCTGACTCTCTGATCTATGCAGACGACCTAAAGCTATGGTCGGAAGTGTGCGGCCCAGAAGGCGCCGATCGATTACAAGAAACGCTTGATCTACTGCACGCATGGTCTATCAAGTGAGGTTTGCCGGTCAACAACGTTGTCCTTCCCATCGGTGCTGCTGAACTACTGGGCATATATCACATCGGCTGGTACTTAATCAAGACTGTCGCTCAGAAAAAGGACCTGTGGACGATAGTATCCTCCGATCTCAAAAATACCCGTGACAGATTAAAGAAAACTGCTGCAACGAACAGGATGTCGGGTGTCATAAGGAGGGCATTATCTATAATGACGCCGCAGATATTCAGAGTTCGCCTCCCATATCCGTACAATCCTCGGATTCGGACTTCCAGCCATAGCTACACTATCGAAGCTTGAAAGTGACCAGATCGGAAAAGTTCAGCGACAAACCTCGAAATTTGTCCTTGTGCTACGCGAACTTCCCTATTCCGCCCGACTCCAGATGATGAATTTTTTCCCCTTAGACTATTGCTGACGTCGCAGAGACCTCATCTATATTAGGCGTATTCTACTAGGAGAAATGGGAAACGAGCTAAGGCCGCTTTTTTCAGCTAAGACTTGACAAATCGACCCGAGGTCGCATCTGGAAGTTATTTAAACCGAAGAGGTTCAAAGTCCGCTCAGACGTTGCTCTCTCTAATCGAGTAGTTAATGATTGGAACCGACTGCCGGACCGGATTGTCAATGCGCAGTCGGAAGCGCGCTTCAAACGTTTGCTAGACAACTATCTACTGGGTACTTCAGGATCCTGCAGGATTGATACTACATCCTGAGTGTTGCCACAACAATCACACATGCAATAGTTGGAAGACCGGGACGTGAAGGAGCTGACACGGGACCTCCCTTCTGCTATCTACTACGCATTGAAAGACTACGTACTTTTGTGACGGATTTCGATCCCCGCCGCTGAATCTTCTCCATCAGTATGCAGTCGGCGTTCGTGATAGGATAGGATGCTGGCAATCCGTACTCAAGAATTGTTCGAACATGAGAGCTGAAAAGAACTCGGAATATCTCTGGAGTCATCTAAGGAAAAGAGATCCTTACAGGAAAGTACATCCTATTAGCAGCGGCTACTTTCTTTGGGGTGTCCTGAGTCGTTTATAAGTTTGTCTAGACAAGAACTCCAAGATCCTTTTCTACGGTTGCTTTCCTGAGCAGGAAGCAACAAATGTGATACGAACCACGTTGTTTACCAAAGCCACCTGCCTCGTCCACAAGTAGACATTAATTGGCCACTTGTCATCCATTTGAATTTACCATAATGTTCACAATGTTTCTGATACATGCAAACACCCGTTTCATGCATTTTTGAAGACTTTCGATATCGGACGGATCAAGCCAATACTCTGTGTGCAACAGCAGCTGCTCGTAAGCCTGAGACTCCTATGGACGTAGGCATGACCCATCTGTCCCCACCCTATCTCTATCTAATCCGGTCACACGCTAGTTAAAGCTATATATATATATATATATATATATATATATATATATATATATATATATACCATGATATTATATTAGCACTGGCGAGACAATACGAAAGGTTAACGTTGCATGTTTTCGTCCTCTCAATAAATCATTTAAACCTGCACTATGTTCAATCGGTGGTGTACTTCACGACTGCAGTAAAGGATGTTTTCCGAAACTGAACTGCTCTCAGGACAGAAAATTTACAAAAACAACATGCCTTTGATCTCCTGCTTACATGACGGTGACCTAAGGTGACCTGGAACATTTTCTCTGAACATAACATTTTGAAATTCTTCACCCTCAAACTACTGTCTTAATTCTTGTCAACAGTGATGGCTCAAGTGAATCTGCGCCTACTGATTGTGTGCCAATTGTACGAGGCCATGTACGGTATGGGAACCGATGAAGATACACTTATCCGCCTAATTTGTCTTCGATGTGAGGTGAGTCCTTCACTAATTTGCTTATCAAATAAATATTTGTCCAATAGAGATAGTTCATCACAGTCCACTCACAATCAACAGGCTTTGGCAAGTCTGCAAAAGCACGAAGCAGCGCTGTTTCCACATTCTGGGTCTCATCAGTGTTGCGCCTTCCATCAGAGCCCTGCCGGGTTTCGAACCCATGGCTTCCGGATGGCATTAGATACTTCCACAAAGCCATGAGTGACGGCCACGGAGATGTCTGTTTGACAGTTAACTATGATATAGACCGGCTCATGTTCCACTGCCAAGCCATTTGCGAAGCTTGTAGAGGACAGCACTTAGCCCTACGAGCAAGGAATTTTCGCCTAGCGACTGTGAACGGCACAGCATTTCTAAGCTATAGGGACAGATAGTTTTTAGATTACTACTGAGTAGTGAGCGAGCCGCTGTGCAAAAAGACATAGCTTGTAGGGCTAACTGCTGTCCTTTGAACACTTCGTGACTAGTATAGCATTGGAAGATGAGCAGGGATATATCATAGTCAACTGTCAACCATACAGGTTCGCGGCCGTCACCCCTGGCTTAGTGGCACTAGCTGCTGGCATCCAGAAGCCATGGGGTCGGAATCCTGCAGGGGTCTGCTGGAAGGCACACCATTGACGAGACAGAAGGTCGGAACAGCGCCGTTTGGTACTTTTCTAGGCTTGCCAAAGCCTGCTGACTGAGGGTGGACTATCATGGATTATCTCTAATTATACCAAAATTCCCACTACTAATCAGTGATCTAAAAATATGTTCACTAACGGGTGGGGGGCTTTCGCTGTAACTGTATTGAGAGTTCATCGCAGTAGCTTCCAAATCGGCTAGCCAACCGTGCACTCCGAAAAGAAACAGACGGTTGTTTCATTTTATTGGGGCTCTTCTGTGAGGCACATCTTCCGGCTCTATCAGAAACCGAGTCCATAACCTTTCTACACAAAGAGCATGCGCCAGTAGCAAGCAGCTTATCTCACTAGGACAAGGGTGACAGCTGAAGACCGTCATGACTTATAGGCTAACCGCGATAAAGCGAGTCTTGCCCACAAATGCTATAAAAGCTGCGAACGTATCAGAGGACACGGCTGGTCCCTAGAGTCAAACTTTCCACAATAGCAGTAATGCATGACACGGCATAGCTTGTAGGATGGATGGTTTCACCTTTGAGTAGGGGTGGTTTGTGCAACCATATTGAGTGTTCATTGCACTAATTCACGTCAGATGTCCTACCACTCATCAGGCAAGTCACTGAAAAGTCCCAATTAGAAGAAACGGATATCCGATACGTTTCCGGATACGTGTTAGACCATCTGACTTGAAAACTAGTGAGATGAACTCTCAATACACGTGCGTGCACCAAGTAGTATTCCCGTGCACCTATGCGATGTTGCAGTATTGGATCTGAAGCGGGTTGCTAACCCTTTACGCTCTGATCATAGAGTGATGAAATAATGGAACAGTTTACCCTAGGCAATAGTCAGGGTAAAATAGGTGTCGGAATTCACGAGATTCTTAGATGCCCACTTTGCGTCTTACAGAATTCGACGGCGTACCGTATCTGAACAGGACGTCACACAACTGAACTGTGCTGACAGTGCGCGGCAATCAACGACGTTATTCTGCACGTGTGCCAGCTATCATTCCCACGCAGCAACACAGATGTGTATCTTATAGCTCTGCAACTTTAGTATCCAGTATATATTTGTGTTCATGTTCAAGTATACGTTTAGACCGGCCAGTATAAATGTGTTTAAAATAGCCGACAGATAATCGTCACTAGACAGGCAGTGTTCCACCAGTCTGTATTTCAAATGGACATGTGGAAAATCTTTTTATTACATTCCTGGTGTAAAAACATATTTCATTGAGAATTAGAATGTGGACAGTAGCTTATTGCACTAAATTTTCTACGAACTACCGAGACACTATAATTTTGTTTTAAGGTAGATTTTTACAATATCGTATATAAGGCTTAAATTTCTGTTTTTCGCCGTACTTACTAACTGTTAGCTGTAGGAGCGCAGCAGTATGCGTATTAAGTGGTTTGCAACCATACGCACCCATATCTTTCACGTTGGAAGCGGTTCAATTAGCAGAAACATCCGCTTTTACCATTTTTCACTCAATGAAACAGGGACTCGCTCCTCCACCCTAAACTGTGTTTTCTTAGTTAAATACACAGTGAGGCATTTTAAAGGTAAAAATTTCAGAAAATAACATAAATAACTGTTTATTGCAATAAAAGTATCACTAGGCACTAATATACAAAGGAAATTATACTCTTATCCGCCAGTTATTTAATTTTTAGCGTTAAGGATTGATGAAATGCTAATTACTAAACACACATATTTAAACAAACGCGGCTGCAAAGATATCGCTCTTCGGAGAATCACATGGAACAAAATACGTTTACAGGACTAACTGGGATAAGTACAAGCTACTGAAAGATGAAGAGAAATTGGTAGAGTTTTAACTGGCTAAATTTATTCGAAGGTAAGTTAACTTGTTCGGCTCAGGTGGTGGGAGCCTGTGTTGTCGATAAAAACTGACCTAATATGACCTCACTTGACTGGGCTTGCTGACCCCTTCATGAAATAACTTAGGTCAACCGAGAAATGAAGCCATTCACAAGTGTAACACAACTCAAATGTGCAACACTTCCAAAAGAAATGTTAGTGAAAGAGTCTGGTAAACTCATCAGCGTTCCTTAACTGAGGTAGAAATGAAATATGATCTGGAGCTTTTGCTACGATTTTGGGTGATTTTAGTTTATGAGCCTTGATTTATCCAACAGCATATTATTCACGCACCGTGTCATACAAATGGTTTCACACCGTATCCGGCGGTTTAAAAAGTAAATACCTCGAGCGGCAGACTTCAACTTACTGCGATCCCACAGAAAGCAAACTTAACCAGTAGAATTAAGGAAGGGATTTTTCGTAAGAAGCAAGCGTTGCCAAAAAACACGTCGAATGCAACAACTGGACATTCCGTTTAAATTAGCAGAGATTTGCGAGCGGAAGTGTCAAGCTGAATTGCGCGGAATCGTTCATTCATTCATTTATTCTGGATAATTTAGTACCGTATCAGTGCTGTACTCTCAACGTTAACCAAAATCGGACATATTTTCACGATTTGTACTGACATCTCTGTCTGTGGGCTCGCTTGGTTTAACATAAACTCCTACTTACTAAGGGTGGATAACAATACCGCAACATGACCCACAGTGCATAGAATTTTCACCCCTTCTGATCTGTATTGCAAATGACTTTTCAATTTACAAGTGCTGAACACCTTGGTGTATTCTGGTTCATTTGTTGTCCATTGACCTGGCTAGATCTAATTTGGTTTTGCGACTGCAATGCTAAGCTGCACCGTCACCCACTTTTCTGCGTCAGCTCTCTTGTTGTTCGAACCCCGTCTGATTTAGCACATTATACAACGGGTAGAAATAGATTTTGTTGTTTCCACCGATAGACCGCATCGGTCTTGGACACCAAAGCTAGTACAATTAGACAGTGGTTCATGACGCGCGAAATGGATTTTATTGAGAGTTCGTCGCTGCACACTAAGGAAAAGAACTAAACTTCAGTTTCGACCTCTTGGATCTCGTCAGAAATGCCCATCCATGGGATCTTTCATAATTCAATCTCATGAACACCAGCGGCCGGAACCGCCAGTCAGCAGCATATGCCACCGTCGCGCAAGAGACCAACATGCTAGTTACCAGTTTTGAACGAACTCCGACTGTATGGAACAATGGAACAAGGGAACAATGGAACAATAGTTTACTACGGGTAAAAAAGCATCGCTTAACAAGTCCCGTAGGATGGAAATTATTGCGAAAATCAATTGCATGATAAAGTGTGGTGGACTCACCATAGACTTATGTGGAACAGCGGAGATGTTCGCGTATTAAACGTATAAATAAATAAATCCATGGGTTAAGCGTTTGGCAGTACACCGTTTGATTGCGTTTTGTAGCCCCTAGCTAACAAGTCGTAAAATGAAATGTAAGTGAGACAATGCATCGTCAACACGTTTTTTAAATATCGCCAGATTGGAAGCAGAGACGACATAATTAGGGAGGGCATTCCAAGGCTGGCACACGCGGAGGGAAAAGAAATTTCAACGGCATTCAAACCGGCTGCACTGAATTGCCAGTTTCAGAGGGTGACCTCTTAGTTTAGTGTTGTGGGACAATTTAAGCAGCGGACGGCAAATGTGGTTTGGGTTCTTCAGAATCTGGTAAACCATCATGAGATCCCCCCGCAAAAGCCGATATCGACTGCTGTAGATTCTTAGAGATTTCAGTCTAAGCTGATCGGGCAAATGAAAGAGGCCACGGACGTTCTTGGTTGCCCGTCGTTGAGGAGTCTCGAGAGAAACGAGATGCTGTTTCTGCCACGGCTGCTACGCCTGAGTAGCATATTCCCCGTGAGGTCCCACGTAGGCGTTAAGCATTTGGGGAAATATTGAGGGTTCAAACCGACCGAAAGCTCTACGAAGAAGGCCGAAGTGTTGATTTCCGGTTCTCGACGCCTTCTCTGCTTGTTTTGAACACCCAAAACCTTCCTGTACCACTGCACCCAGGTCACGCTCCTGAGAGACCTTCTCCAATGCGTGATTTCCAAGCTTGTAATCGCTCACCGGCTGGTGACGCAAATGTATTCCTTTGCAAACTAGGTCACGTTGGAACAGATCGTGATCTGGAGCAACCGTGGTTATTCTGTACGAGCAGACGTTGTTCGCGTTACTGAGAGGTAACCAGCAGATTGTGAACCCTCAGCTTGTAGATTTAGCTGTGTCGTTGGCGAGTGGGAAGAACTCGGCATGCATACAACTTGAGGGCAGTGGGTTCCCCACGGACTACTTCCAAGTATTGTTAAGCTTGCACAGGAAGATGTCCTGAATGTCCAATGCCTTAATCCCTCACCAAAATTTAATATCGTCCGCAAAGTTTCAAAACTAAAGCGGTCACG